CAACATTGGGGCTAATTCTTCATTTTTCACATATGACGCAAAAATACCTTCTAAATATAAGACTAGTTCCGACCAAAATGAAAACTTCATGAGCTCGCCTGCAATGCTGTGTTAACTGAAAATATATACATTTGTAGCCTTCTGATTCATCCACATTGGCAGTGGACAATGCTTTTCTTACCTTCAATTTCTTCAAGCTTGTCTTTGATGCTGTCGTCGTCTTTCTTCCATTGTTTCATCAGTTCACGATAATGCTCCTCGCTATCTGGATCCATGCAGTCGTGCTCAAGATTGTCGATATCAGCTCTAAAATGAGCTCCTCCCAGTCTCACCAAAGGTTCTCGTATTTTGTGCCAGTAAGCACTGAAACTGCTGTCATCCACAGAGGCTTGAGAAGCATGGCCGTATACAGTGTTCCTGTAATACTTGACTCTGGCGATGTCATCTGCGATGCTTATGTTTGTAGCTAGGGGAAGACGATCCCATCCATTGGCAGGAGGGCCCAAACCACAGATATTTCTAAGAAGCACCGTCAGAAGTGTGATATCGAAGGCTGCAGAAGACACAGGTGCGTGAGTAGGGTACAACTTTCCCCATTGCGTGGGATTCAGCACTTTCCTCCTTCCTCTGTACAGTGATTGCAATGTAGCGTAATGCACTGAGGTACTTCCCAAAACTGTATGTAGAGTCGCTGGTGGATGTATTGTGTCAAAAGTGGACCGAAGCACCTGAGATCCAACATCCACCAGGAGGCGGCATAACCTTGCATAGTTAGTAGTCTCTTTCGTAGACGCAAATGGTGAAATAGCCATAGCCATAATACTAACTTTTCCAGGATGATCTGTCAAACAGAGAATTGACATTAAGTGATGCTAATCAAACCCATTCGAAAAAAAGAAAACTCCCGATAGCCAATTGAGACCGAGAATAGTTTCAAATCGTGATATCATTTTCTAAATCCTTTGGAGCAAGGAACACCAACGAAAGAACCTAACAAAAGATTTAATCTAAGATTTCAACCCAGAGTTTAGATTAAGAAAGAGTTTTGTTTTTTAGTTAACAAAGTAACAACCAGAGACATAAACAGCAAAAATGAAACGCGATTTGAAAGTTTGAGGGAAAGGAATCACCGAAAAGAATTTATATTTCCTCTCGGGGGCCGTAAACTTAGTCAGTTCTGGTGGCTCGTTGACGTTTGATTCTTAATGAAATGGAATCTGCCCTCTAAGTACCAAGGTCGACATAAGGTGTAATTATACTCTTGAATATTTTAAGTCAAGCATCTCCTTGGGATCTACCGATCCAAGACCTCTCCCTCACTAATAATAAAAGCATCTGTTGAACTCTTTCATAACCCAGCACGTAACCTTACCTTGAGTGTCGTATTGCAAACCAACTGACCTTAAATACGTCTGAATTGTTTATCGATGCTAAAAAAGAAGATAAAACTGGACATTAGCGTCTGCTATAAGATTTCAATGTGGAACAGCTGCCAAAGTACACAAATAAGCTAGCTATGCTACTACAACAAAAATCCCGAAACACATATTTCCCAATAATCACCGCCACTGTTACGCATTAAATTCAAGCCACTCGCGTGCAGATCATCACGTTCTGGCACATTACCACCTTTAACGCTGCCAATTAACCACTGCATAGGAAAGTTTTAAAATTGATATAGGATTAGTAACTGCGACAACATCACCAACCATAATTTATTAGCGAAGAGATGAAAAAAACCAAAACCGTTAACCCCTACATCAGCCAGCTATCAGTGCTTCCGAAACTGCTACCACACGAGAACTAAAATCATCACTAACAATCAAGTAACACACAAAATCAAGACATGCTCAACGCATTAAAAGGCAAAGCCATAGGTATTAAGCCAATACCTCTACCACTCAAACCAGAGTCAACTCAACTGGCAAATAATGACTCTTTTTGATAAAAAAATCGCCAGTGATTTAAGAGCAGCTTCAGTCTCCTGAGCAAGGACAAGTCCAACAACAATTCCACCAGCCTTAATACAAAAGCCACACCCGTTTTTACTACTTCATGCAGCGTCACAAAGATCTGAGCATTGCCAGCGCGATCATTATACATAAACTGAAAACCTCTATAACTTCAATGTGATCCACAAGCTGACAAAAATATATAAACCACAATGCAACTTCAAAGCAAGACAACACAACCTCCATGTACCACCCTGCAAAGATCACTGCACCAACTTGGTCATTTGAAGCATAACTGCAGAAGTATCATCCATCACCATCCCTTCAAGAACAAGAAGTACATAACCACAAGCAAACTACACTATGTTAGGAAAATTGTCATCAATATAGGAATCAGTGTGTTACCAGGTAAGCCGATGGAACCAACTCCACGACTAGACCAGGAAATACCAGCACAACAAAAAAAGGAATGATACTACCTCAGGTCACTGAGTTTACAACAATCAATAAACGGCACCCTACAGCTAGAAAGCAAAACCCATGTTACACACCTTACCTATCCCAATTTCTATGGAATTAGGCAATATGGGGTATTAATCATCCCTCTAAGTGGATAACTAAATGCAATTTCTAACAGGTGTATTACCCAACATGACACTAGGTCTCTCTTCCAGCAAAAAAATTCCTGGAGCAACTCAGAAGGAATTTGTAGATTTCCTCACCAACTGTTACTTCACTATCACACCTGGGAACATTAAAAGCCTTTTTAAAACTCAGGCAATTCATGGTTTCTCTGCTTATTGATGATTAGACCAGTACAACCCGGCCTTGCAAACAGATTGCACAGTCACTGTTATTAAATGCACCTTTTTAAGCTATATACTAATTCTGCCACATGAAGGTAACTCTAATTGTCACTAAAATACAAGGTCATTGAAGCTCATGCACCAGTACAAAACATGGTGTCCCGGTTCATAGGACAATAAAGTCTGAGTCACAGATTTAAAAGTCTCTGTAATATTACCACCTCCACTAGCAAAAATGTGCCTAACAGCAAAACCTACCACTAGTAGTTACCACTACAGTTCGGACAAAGAAAACCAATAAACAACTTTGTTCCACATCCCAAACATTTAGGGGATGCAACCTCCATTTCCAACTGAACCTGCAATGACAAAGGAACTAAATGGGGTCACAGCATGCAACAGAGCTGCACAAGCGTAATCCATCACCATGCACTATCATGAGGCCAGCAGAAACATAACTTCTAGAACTGGAGCTAAATTCTAGTTAGAGGTTTCCCACCAACTTGGTAAACATTACTTTACTAGAAGAAAGATATATTTATGCCCTGTCACGTACATGGGATAAAGACAGAAATCCCAATCACCACAAGAAGTTGAATTATAGAACTTCAGCTGATTCCACCCACCACTAAGCCAGTAACAGCAACTATAGGCAAGGAAAGGCCAATAATTACTAGGTTAATCTGGCACCCCTGTCACAAACTGCTAGTAGGTCATCAACCACTGGCATTAATTCTTCAGTCAACCAAAGTAAGCAACTCTTAAAGACTAGGCCTTTTCCATATTCCAGGGTAAGAGGGGGAACTCAGTCTGAATTAGTGCATTTTCTCACCAACAACCTAGTGAATTATCTACCCAAGGGATTAACTCAGCATAACTGACACTTTTTACCTCTCAAATTGGTGTCCCAGTGCATTGATCCTTACACAAACAAAGCCCCAGACATCAGAATAAGCCAGTCAGTCTCAGTATACACCACCACTTTAAAACATTTACAATGTATGCCAGTAAAAAGAAGCTCTGGCCACCATTATAAGGATAATGCAAGCAATCCCAGCCTTTTGTTACTAGTGCCAAAGCCATATTTTCTAGGTGCCTCTAACCAATATATACTGAATAACAAACATCTAAACACAGCCAGCAGGGGTTGCTGTGCTCGAAAATTAAAATCTCTCATTGCCCACCTCCTTAAAGAAATGAACCAGACAATCTCTGCCATAACATTATGAAGATCCTTTTACAAAGAAAGATATACATCTATACAATTGCATGATCAGACTGAGCAAATGCATCCTTCATGGCCACTCTTAGAATAACCACAGAAAATAAAAGCTACAGAATAATAATTATTAGCAACATTGCTGAGGCATGCCCATCACCACTCAAAGAAGGACAAACCATTGATATTAATGTTAAAACAACATTGTGGTGGGAATAAACTAGTTTGATGGTCATCACAAGCACCATGCAACACCACTAATTGGGGATTATACACAGGTACTGCTCCATAAGCAGGTGACCAACAATTGCATAATAAATCAAAACCAGTCAGAAATCTCCTTTACGACAATGCATGCAAGCATTGTCTGATTAACCATGTACAAGCAACAAATCTCTAAACATGACATCAGGTTTCCCTAACACTTCACCATAATACTAAACCCATACAAATCTACAGAACACAACCCACAAGTCAGTTATACCTGAGAGAACAAAAATCTCTTCTAGCTGCCCTGAGGCAACTGCTTCAATTAATAAAACTAAAAAGCTCCATATACACTCATATGAAACTTCTATTGACCACTGCAGCCCTACAATGATGACAGAAACCAGACAAACACCTACTGTATATAACTGCAGAGCTTCCAAAGGATATCATACACCACCACTTTCAAAAGTAGATCAACTATATAAGGAGCATCACAGTACTATATTTTGGTAGGAGATTGATCAATAGCAGTAAAAATCAGTGCACATTTTACAGGTTGATTACCAAGCAAAACAGACAGCTCCATGACCAGACCCAAGACTGTACCATTACCACTATCATAATTATATTGTAACTACTTCTAGTTACCAATATTTGCACATATTAGGTAAATAATATAATGCATAGGTCTTGACATAACATTACCAGGCAAAATAATTAATACTCACATGGATATGAGTACAATGAGGGCATGCAGAATTTTAACATATGGAAACAGGACACAATTATTCCCAGCAAATAAATTATTAAATAAATACAGATTGACAAAATGAAGGCAAATTTTAAAAAGGGAGAAAAAAAAAGAAACAGCAAGCCCTTCTACCTTGTATAGAGTTTCCTGGGTTCAAGAAAATAACCCTTGAATGAGGGATAAAGTCAGAAAGTCTGAAAAGGGAAGCAGCAGAACAACAGTTACTATATATCAGTTATGAAAGACAATGACAGTCACAAATAAGGGCACTAACAGGTGCCCCAAGGTTATAAGTAGTATTAACGGCAACATTTTATAATTATATCAAAATAATTTCATATTATCAGCTGAGTTAATTGATAATGTGAATTTGCTATCGTGATGAGTTGAGAAGCTGACAATTTGTTTGTCAGCCCAATTGCTCTGATGAAGGGCTAACACTCAAAATGTCATCTTTTTAAACCTTATCAGCTCAATTGATAATACTAAATTATCCAGGTATACTCTCCTGCCAAGGCAGCACCACAGTTTTTTTAGAAACTTACCCCCTCTATTTACAATTATCAAAAGTCAACTAGAATTAAAAAAAACAAAAACAACAAAAACCACCATAATTCACAAAGGCTGACCAAATGTGACCCTACGAATGATTTCAGGGACAAAGGTAATAACACACAAACAACACACCAACACATCCTGCAGAATGCCCAATTTGTTCTTCCAACATTTACTAACAGTAGCAAAAAATGTATAGATCTGTAATATTAGCAGTGAACTGTACTCTGGAGAGCTTTGGTTAGTTATAAATTACATTGGCTTTCCTCCTCAGGGAATATCACTCTAGCTCACTAACTGTTCAGGCACTGAGCTAAGAAACAATAGCTTCATAGAAAGTTATTGTTTATGCTATTGTTACAAAAAATCACCAATTTTGAAACCTTCTGTTACATTTTCATCTCTTTCTACATCTTACTCAATAAACACTGCAGTCCTCTTGTTAACCATATATAGGATTCTATTTTCATCGGAAAAATCCACCTGCACAATTGTTCTATGATAGTAAGGACATAATAAAGTCTTAAAAGTCACTTTGACAACTGTTTCTTCAAAACAAATCATGCCCTCATGATTCAGAGAGGAGTCAACTTTAAGATTACTATCTTTTAAACAATTTAGGGTCTCCTTATTCTAAAAATCTATGATAGGGCTAGATATGAAATATTTTCAATTTCATAATTTAAGCAGTTCTAAAATGGTATGGGCCATGATGGTTTTCATTATTTTTACCATCCCCTAAAAATCCCTCTGGCCATCCAATGAAACATACTTTTACACAAATGTTACAGCCATATGTAACTGTGATTTTTTAACATCTTGAACATGTTGGATTGTTTACACAATCATCACAATTCGTCCAGCACTGAGTTATATTCTGTGCTTCAACATGCTACAAACATTGTCAAAAGTAACCTCCACATGAAAAGAAGTAATTGAAGTGTCTGCTTTAAATCCTAATGCAACTCATTCACAGCCAAATGTTCCAACTTTGTTTTTGCTAATCAAGAAGTTGATAATTATAAACATGGATGTTTTCAAGTAGAAGCGTGTTGTGAGCTTAAGCTTGCTATCACCTTTCTCCCAAAAATCATATGGATGGTCACAAATACAGAACCTTGCATTATAGCTAGCAGTTAATGCATCCTATACTGGTCATTACACCTGTAGCGACCAAAGCAACTTTTTAATTATTAGATGCATTTCAGCTGCCAGGTGCAACATAATAAGACATGGTGTCAAACACTATTGAAGGATGACAACATTCAATTTATACTCCTGAGTGTAAATTCAAAGGATTGAACCACTGGGTAAAGATTGATGCAAATTTAATTAGTGACCTATCTTGCGACTTTAATATTATGTTTTATATTCAAAGCAAAATGATATTCATGAAAAAAAGCGAATAGCACATAATAACATAAACATTTTTCATTCCCATGAGAATAA